TAAGAGATTCAGCTTAACTGCTCAGGAGTGGGAAAATAAACACTTGTCATGAGACAGAGAGAGATTTGTGTTTAGATTTGACTACAAAGGACTCTAAAATCAACATTGCTGTCAGAGCCATGTAAATAATTCAGCAACCTCAACGTTTTCCCAAGATCTGTGTTTCACATTGGGCTGTAATGGGATAATTCAATTTATTCTTACCCTGCTCTAATGATTTGATGCTGATGGCCAAGTGCAGAACTTCACGATGGGAACAGGACAAATTCAGCCCAGAGGTTACAGAGTTACTGGGAAGCTTTTCATTTTCTGGAGTCTGTGAACCTGGGAGTGCTGAGAGAGGGATAATTTGCTCTCATTTGTGGAAGTTTCATATGCAGCTGTATTAAAAGCAAATGTTTTGTGAAATTCCATTTCATTTGGCCTCTGTGAATTCATTTTTTCAGCAGAAGGTGGAAATGGAGTGATGCATTTTGTTCCCAGTTCATAATGTCATTTGGTGGAGTTCAGATTGGAGGATTTTGCTCTTTCAAGGTGGAAAAATATCACAGATTAAAACAGGGAATTCCAGAGATTCTTTGGTTTTCCCAGCATCTCCCAATTTTCCAAAAATACCAAAAGTGCCTTTCCAGGCAGACAACAGGAGGGGAACTCCCTGCTGTCCTGGAGAACACGCTCAGATTTTGTTCCTGGCCCACTGCAGTTCCACCTGTGGCATCTTTCCTGATGCTTCCAGCCTGGGGAATTCCTGGTGCCAGCCTGACCCATCCTGCACTTCCAGGGGTTGCTTCCTGGGGCTTTGTGGCTGCCATAAAACACAGAAACAAAAAAGGCTCTTTTCCACCTGTTCCTGACGCAGGAATGGAGCAGAGCAGAGCCAGCACAGGCTGGGATAAATCACAAAAATCATCTGAAGCTGCTCTCTTCCCCTCACTTCCAGAGTGGTTTAGGAATTCTGTTGTTTTCTAATTCAGAATTTATAATTCTGGAACTGAGCAGATGGTGCAGGCTGATTTCAGGGATGTGTTCATTAAAACAACCTCTGCCAAGTGATTGTTCACCACAATCCCCATTTCAGATCAGTTATTTGTTCTTGCCCTTGGAAGTCCCTCTGGAAGCAGCAGAGCTTTGAGGAGTGGAGGGTGATGTTCCAGCAGTGGTGCTGCAAATATTCCAGAGGAAAATCACTTTGGGAGAGAAAGGAAAATGCAGGGAAAGATAAATTGTGGGGTAACACAATTGTCAAATCTTAGAGAAGTCTCAACCCTTCATTCAATCTGGAAGCTCAGTTCCACTTAAAATGTGGCTCCAGCCAACTTTACATCAAAACCTCCTCTACCTTCCACTATTTTAGGTGGTTGAGGAGAAAAATGGTACAAAAATACATTATTGAGAATGGTATTCTGCTCAAGCCAAACGCAAAACTTCCCAGTTTAACCCATTTTACATGATTTTATCCTGCTTTCCTCTGGTCCCAGATCTTTCCTGGGTGCTCCTGCAAATAACAGAAGGTTTGTGATACACGGGGAGCCATCATCACCTGCTTGCCTTTTCCTTGGAGATCTGTTCCAGGTGGGATGGTGGCTCTTCCTGGGGGAGTTTCTGGTTGTAGATGAAGGAAGAAAAGTGTCTGGAAGTGTTTCATTTGGAGTTGGGCTTCAGCAACTGGAAAAGGAGAAAATGAAGACACAGGCAGCGAATGCTCACTTCCAAAATTGTCAATATCACAGTGGGGAGATCAGTCCCCTGATAAAAGCAGCAAAGGGCAATCAACATCAATTGCAATCTGCTCTTTTCTGCTTTTTTCTTCTTTCTTTATCTCACGAGGAGTGGAAGGCTTGCTCCAAATCAGAAATGGGGAAAATATCTGAAAGTGAAAAAGTTTGGAGAATGAGAAAAGCAAACAAAGTGAACAGCTCAGAACTCAGTGAATTTGATACCTGGATTTTCTCTTCTGTTCTTGCATTCTCTGGGGGTCTGTCAGTAACTATTTTGAATTTATAATACAGGAATTACAAAGGGATTTGTGAATACAGCCAAAGTTAGGGTTTAGTACCTTTTTGTGTAGCTCGTATCTAAACATTTGTGCACCCAGTGAGACCTGAGGTACCCTACACCCAAAATCCCCCCACCCATCCCTATTTCTGCAGCAAAATCTCAACTCTGCCTGTTGTTCTTCATTTTTTATGCAGAGAGGGAATGGATTTAGTGGCAAAAGCCCAGAGCTGGCAGCTCTGGTCCCCCCCTGCACTAAGGCCAGCTGCAGAACCTGCCCTGTCAGGACAGCAGGAGCCACTCCTGCCTCTCCAGGAGGGAAACAATTCATAAAGAAAGCAGCTGTAAAGTGGGTTTGGGAAGGTGGAAAATGCAGGAGTGCAGCCACAAATCCCTCAGCCAGCAGGGTTCGGCTGTGACTGTGCCAGCCTGGCTTTGGCCTCTCTTTGTAATTTTATTTATGGTCAGTGTGATCCAAACCCTCACAGTTCCTGTCCCCAAGAGGTCAGGGCTGATCCCAGGGGTGAGGACTGAGCAGGAACTCGGGCTGTGGGAAAATGGTGTGTGGTTTTCCTGCCAGGAGAAACCAAAACCCAGCCCTTTCTGGGCTTTGCTTTCCTAATAAATGTCCAGGTTGGTGTGGGGGACAGCTCAGCAGGGAGTGAAAGTGGGAGCACTGCAGCCACTGCATCCCCTCGGAGTCTTCTCCCTGGGATTTGCCAAATTCCCAGAATAAGCTGGAGCTCCTTGTCCTGCAAACCCCACAGCTCCCCTCCTGTGCCCAGAGCTGATCCCAGCTGTCACCCCAGAGCCCCCTGGCCTGGCAGACACAATTGTCCCTAAGCTGGCCATCAGCACAATTCCAGGGCCGTGGGGAGGGTTTGCAGCAGGTCCCTGGAGGGGCAGTGCCTTCCCATTGTTGGGATTTATTGTTTTATAATTTATTTATTGGGGGTGGTTGGGATCTGGGGAAAGCTCCTGGGGAAGTGACAGCAATGCTGTCCCCACTTTGTGATTCCCTTTGAGCACAAATCCCATCCGAGGAGCCCACCAGGGGCAGGAAAGGGGCACAGTTAATTTGCTGTAGACAATTTATTTAATTCATTTAACCCTTTAAATGGGTTTTTCCTTGCATACATATTCTGGCTCCGTTGAATATATTTATTTCTCTCACCTACCTTGATGTTTTCTCTTGAAGCCTTCAGCTCACACAGGGAGGGTTCCAGTGCTGTTTCCTCCTTCATTGTAGGATAAATCCCTGGCAAATCCATGGGGTGGGGGCTGAGGCACACCAGGCGTGTTCCTGCAGGGGAGGCAGCTGAATTTCAGGTGCAGATGAGAATTTCTCTGAAACTTGCTGCCCACAGGTACCAGGAGCTGAGAAATGAGGTGTATTTTCAGAGAGAGACCAGTGAAGGCACAGGGAAAGAAAGAGAACAAAACCTTTTTGTGAGAACAAAAGCAGGGCTGTAAAATCCCAGCTTTTCTCCAACACTAAAGCAGTGCCCTACAACTGGCAGGGGCTCTGAGCTTACATTTGAAGGGAAAAGCTGCAGGGTATGGAAAAACCCCACGGAACACAAAAGCCTGGCAGCAGAGGACACCCTTAACAGATTCCTGGAGATGTTGGGAATATTTGAGGAATGATGTGGTGGTACCTGAGCAAGACACGAGCTGGCACTCCCTGAGCCAGGGATGCTCCTTCCTCCAGTCCTACCAGTCCTCTTTCCCCACAGGGTGAACAGCTGGAAGTGTTGAACTCACTGCCAGAGGCTTCAGACAGACACTTTGTGCCACACGACATCCCGGGACACCTTAATGACTCCTCTTTAGCTTAATGAACCTCTAACAATCGGCACCGCCCGCTCTTGCTGCTCTTGCTCCACTCTGGGATGGCCACAGAACACGGAGGAAGGTTTGGATCCTTGGTATCCCAGTCCCTGTCCGTCTGGAACCTTGGATATCCCAGTTCTTGTCCATCAGGAACCTTGGATATCCCAGTCCTTGTGTATCTGGATCCTTGGGTATCCCAGTCCCTGTCCATCAGGAACCTTGGATATCCCAGTCCCTGTGCATTTGGACCGTTGGATATCCCAGTTCCTCTGCATTGGGAACTTTGGATATCCCAGTCCCTGTCCATTTGGATCCTTGGATATCCCAATCCCTGTCTGTCTGGAACCTTGGATATCCCAGTCCCTGTCCATCAGGATCCTTGGATATCCCTGTCCCTGTTCATTTGGATTCTTGGATATCCCAGTCCCTGTCCATCAGGATCCTTGGATATCCCCGTCCCTGTCCATCGTCCTGAGCTGCTCCAGGTGTCAGGGGCTCTCCTCTCTGTGTCCCATCTGTGGCAGGGCCTTTGGCATTGCCGACGTCTCCAGGGTGGATTGTGTTCCACGGTGTCCCTGTCTGACCTGGTCCATCAGTTCCAGCTCTGTTCTCTCTTCGTGGACGTCTCGTTGGAGTCTGTTCAGTGTGAGGTGCAAAATGTCTCTGCTTGTCTCTGACATCCAGACTGTAACTCATTGGGAGCACGTTTTTAAAATTCCTGATCCTTGTTTAAAGTGCTGGAGTTCCAAGGGATGTTTGAGGGAAATATCTGCACATTCAGTGTCGGGCCATGCTGGTTGACAGCATCCAGCCCAGGAATTCCTGCAGGAGCATCCTCCAGCCGGGGAATTCCTGCAGGAGCATCCTCCAGCCCGGGAATTCCTGCAGGAACATCCTCCAGCCCAAGCACACTCAGGCAGTGCAGCTCCCCTCAGACACCTGAAACCCAACAGCTTCTTGGTTTTCAGGGATTGCTTTGACTGCTCTAAACTGAAGATTTCATTCCCTGTCACAGAGCAAAGCAAAGACTCCACACTTTTTAATGTGAGATCTGGATATTTGGAGGAATCACTCTCTTAAATATACTTTGGGGTTTGCAAGATCTTATTTTCCATTTTCCATCAGTTTGGCATTTGAGCTGGCACTGACAGAGGTTTGTGTTCCCCTCCCAGGTACACGGTTTTACACAACGGGCACCACCAGGAACAAGAGAAGCTTCCCATCCACACCGACCCCGAATCCCAAGAGTCCTGTTTCTAGTCCTGGCCCAGAAGAGGAGGAACAGAGGCCTTTTAGGATGTCCCAAGGATTCACAGACAGCAGGACTTGAAAATTCATCCCTCTGCATTGCCATGGTGCCTCCTGCAGTGAATTCCCAGGAATGTCCAGCCTGTGGGAGCTGGGTGGGAGCATGGGCAGGGTCAGGACTCTGTCCCTGTCCCTGTCCCTGCAGGAGCAGCTGGAGCCATGCCAGGAGCTGGCATTCCTGGCAAAGCCAGGACCAAAACAGCTCCAAACCCCCTGTGTGGGACTCCTGCTGCTCCTTTCCAGCTGCTCCTTTCCAGCTGTTCCTTTCCAGCTGCTCCTCTCAGCTGCCCCTGCTCAGCTCACCCTGTCCTGGGGGTCACAGCTGTGGGGTGGCCCTGAACTGCTCCATCCCTGCTGCCCCTGCCCGGGCACTGCCAGGGGAGGAGCAGCCCCACGTTTTCTCCAGGAGAACAAGAGGAAATGTTGCTGCCCTTGGGTTCCAGCCCTGCTTCCCCCACCCTGCAGAGCTCCGGAGGGCCCTGCTGGCGTTTTCTGGCTGAGGAGGATCCCGGGGTGTGCAGGAGCTGAGTGGGGCCAGCTCAGAGCCATGGCCCTGCTCTGCCATTCCCAGGGGATGGGACGTGCCCTGGAGCCCAGAGCTGTCCCCATCCCTCCCCTGAGCTCACTTTGGGCATTCTGAGGCAGCAGAAGCTTGGCCAGGAGCCAGAGCCAATGGATCACTAAGTGCCATCGTGGAAAACAAACCACCTTTTCTAGCTACATTTGGGAAAGAGACTTCTACTTACCTTTGCCACCTTTATTTTTCTATTTGTTGCTGGTCTCTTCCAGTCGAGGCAAGAAGTTTTCCAGACTTTGCAGTCTCACCATTTGCAAAGATCCCAGTCCTCAGCTGCTTCCTGCATGTCGGTGTTACCACATTCTCCCCCTCTGCATGGAAAGGGTGGGCAAGGCTCTAAACTCCACAAATCTGGGAAAAGGATTTTCATGCAGGATCAAGACCATGAGCCTTGACCCTTTTTAGGTGAAGATCTACCCCAGAGATGTCACCCTGAGCCTAGAAAATACAATTGTACTTTGTTGTATCGTGGAACCATGTACAGATATTTTTAATGTACAAAGAGAAGCTGACATTATTTATTATTTTTTATCAGGAACATGTGGTTTTTTCATTAAAAGCTTCTAGACCAAGGAGCTTAACATTCTATGTATTATTATTTAGTAATATTTCTGTTGCTATGTGACAGGTATTTACTGTAAACAGACAAATCCCGCTCGGAACAAACAAAAATGTTGCTCAGTAGGAGAAATATTGTGCATGAGAAGAACAAATGGCTTCCTGGCCATGGTGTCTGACTTCTTTAAATTATTCTTCCAAAGCAAAGTCACTGATAAAGCTTCACATCCTTTTCCTGTAGGATTCAGAAGGACACTGTGCAGAAACATCCCCAGTTGGAATGCTGAGGTAGAAAATTGCTGGCTGCTGGGAAGGCACAAATTATTGCTGTTTGTGGTGGAAGGTGCTCCAGGTCCATCACTGGGACCTGGTTGGCAATGACCTGTTTTTACTGGGTTTTATTTCAAAAAAAATTCATTTAACTTTACTCTTGACACCAGAACTGTGGAGTGAAAAAGAAGCCATTATTGAAAGTTTGGAAAAAACCCACCCAGGGCTGCTTTGGTGCTGTGATCCTCCTCTGTGGAACTGCCCACAGGGCTTTGGGCACATGAGGCTGCAGAGCAGCTTGGCTTGGTTTCACCTCAAGTGTCAAATTTCTTAAAGAAATCCTTAAAAAAAGCTTTTCTCTGTCCCCAGAGAAGGACATTGAAATTTTGGTGTGAAGTTTCCTGGAGTGAGATGGAACCAGAAGCACAGGGAGGGGATTTTGGATCTGCTTTGTCCTTCAGGCGTTGTTTTCTCCTTTATTTTTATGTGCATTAGGAAAAGATCTCTTTTTAATTTAAAATAAACTCCTACTTTCCCCAGGGACAACATTCCCAAGGCTCTGTCAACGGGAGCAGTGGCTCACCAGCCAAAATGGTCAAAGGCTCTCACTGGGAAAAGGCTCCCCCCTTCCAGCTGGATGAAATTCCAAACACCAATTGTCCATGTCCTGTGTCACCTCTAATCCCCCCCTGGGCTCAGCAACCCTGTCAGGAACCTCCTGGCAGCTCCTGCTCAACCCACCAAAGATCCCAGCACAGCTGCTGTGCCCCCAGCCATGCCCCTGTGCCAGCAGCAGCGGCACAATTCCCCTGGAAAAGGAGTCCCATGGAAAGCCCCACTCTGGAATTCCATGGCTGCTCCTGCAGCCTCCCAGTTCAGCTTTGCCCATCTTGGCTGGTGGTGCCAGTCCTTGCCTGTGCTCAGTGACGTGTGGTGTTCCTACAAATAAAAACTCCTCTCTGGCCATGGCAGTGAACTCCAGTTTGGGCTCGTTTCTGGTGCTCTTGGTGCTCCAGCCCCGGGGTGGGAGCAGGCTGCACCTCCCAGGAGGCTCCAGGGGCTGGAACAGGGAGGGGAATCTGCCCCTCTTTGCTTTTCCTACAATTCCTGCCAGGAGGGGACAGCCAGGGGGGTCGGGCTCTGCTCCAGGGAACAGGGACAGGATGAGAGGGAATGGCCTCAGGCTGGGCCAGGGTGGACATCAGCAGGAATTTCCCCATGGAAAGGGTGCTCAGGCCTTGGAACTGCCCAGGGAGCTGTGCAGAGCCAGAAGGGTCCCCCTGAGCCTCCTTTTCTCCAGGCTGAGCCCCTTGCCAGCTCCCTCAGCCCCTTCCCAGCTCCGTTCCCTTCCCTGGGCACCCTCCAGCCCCTGCAGGTCCCTCCTGCCTGAGCGCCCAGATCTGGGACACCCCTCGAGGTCCCTCAGCAGTGCCAGCACAGGGGACAGTCCCTGCCCTGGTCCTGACTCACAGGAATTTGTTAATTTATGATTTATTTGCAGTCCAGGAGCCCTCACCTTGTCCTGGCCTTAGCTGGAGGTTTCCCAGGTCCCTGTGGAGCTGCTGAGGGGATCAGAGCCATCCAAATGGATTCAGGTGAGAGATGAAAGCCAAGGGACACCTGGATGTGGAGCAGTGTGGATCCCTCGCTCCAGAAACACTTTTTTGGCAAACTCTGCTCCTCCAGGGGTGTCTGCTCCAGCAAAGGACACTCCAGGGAGGATGGACACTGGGAACGTGTCACTGGAAACCTGCAGAGCTGACAGGTAAACAGTGCTCACCTTGCCTCTGACTCAAAATGGCTTTGATTTCACCTCCCCTGCACCTCCTGTCCCCTGCTGGGCTCCGGAGCTCTGTCAACAACCAGCAATGCTGTTTTAGCTACATAAATGCTGGGTTGGCATTTCCAAACACCTCTCAGTTCAGGGACTACTGACAGATATCTTCAAAGCTCATCTCACCAAGATCGTGGCTTTAGGATGGAATTCACTCCCAAGTGGCCCTGCTCAGCAAGAGGAGGGAGAATCAGAAGGTTTTTTAGGCACTTCTCTGTGTCAGCCTTGCTTAATAACGTGCCCAGAACCAAGCAATGGGGCCCAGAGTGTGTCCAGCTGGTTCCAGCACAGGAAAAGCAGGAGCAGCTCCAGCCAAGAGCTGCTTTGGGAGCAGGCACTGAGTCATTCCCACCCAACTCTGGGAGTGCTGAAGCCAAAGAGAGCATTTCTATTCTGTACCTGGCAGCTGGGAACCCTTCCCCAGTATAGGATCCCCTTTTTCTCCACATTTGAGTTCCTGAGCCATCTCTGAGCACTCCCGGGCCAAAAGACAAGAAATCTGTAGGGGATTAATAATATAAACCTAATGAAAATATACCAAAGCTTTTAGTTCTTCCAGTTTTTGCATAAATCTTCCTGAATAAATCCCCAGTTTATCTCCAGCCAACACCCAGGGAGTGCTGAGGAGCTGAAGGGAGCTCTGCAGGTGATGGGCCCTGGTTTTGGCTGTCCTGTTATCACATGCAGTGCACACAGGGCCAAGGTGTCCCTGGCACACCCTGACAAGAGGTTAAGTTGGAATTCCTTATCTGGGAACTGAAAGTGGAAATCCTGGGCAAGGGGATTCTCAGACCCTGAACAGCCTGGAGAGGGAGCAAAGGCAAAATTCCTGTCTCCACCAACCCCTTAGAGCTTCTTCTCAAACAAAAACACTTCCAAAATCCTTTCCTTTTTGAAACCCCAGCACTGAATTTGCCTTCCTCCTAAAGGAGAGGGAAAAGCAACCCCCAGCACAGTGAGCACGAGGCTGTGCCCAAACACACTCTGGCCTTTCCCTGTTTACCTTCTGTTCTATTTAGATGACATTTCCCAGGCACCTGAGCCTCTCCCAGCTGGGATCTCAGCATCCTCTTCCAGGAGGAAAAGCAGTGCCAAGGTCACCCCAGGCTCACTTCCCAGCCAGTGCAATCACCCCCTGCTGCCCCTTCCAGCTGAGCTGACCTGGAGGTGCCCATTTCTCCTCAGGGGCTGTAAGAGGAGCCCCCTCTGACTGTGCACCTGCAGAGGGACAGAAATCCCACCGAGATTTCACTTCCCCAGTGCTGCTGAGTCAGAGCTGGCCCAGGGAAAAAATTCCTGCTCAGTGTTCTCCCTAAAGCCACATCCAGGAGGGAAGCAGGGCACAGAGGTGCTGCAATCACATTTCCTCTGTTATTTCCTTACCTTGCAGCCTCAGTGCCTTTGAACTCCAGCCGAGCTCCCTGTGGCACCCAGGTGCAAACATCCCTGGTTTCAGGGGCTGTGGTGGATCCCAACCTGTCCCCACAGGAGCAGAGCAGAGCTGAGAGGCCCAGCTGGAATTGCTGTGCTGCAGGAGGAGCAGGATCACTGTCCCCTCACCTGCAGGGACAGCAGCTGCTCCTCCTGCCACACACCAGGCACAGGAGGGAGGAGAAGCCTGGCACAGAAACATCTGGGATGCTCCAAGCTGAGCTGGGCAGAGCCAGGGAAACCCTCCCTTGCCATGGTGATGGAACAAAAGTGCCTGAAACAGCCACGAAACGGAGAGAGGAGGAAGCTCAGAGCCAAAAGATCAAACCCCCAGAAGATCCCAGCTCCTCCCTCCCCCCTGCCCTCAGGAGATGACAAAGGGGATTCGGGCACTGGTGTAAAATGGGTGTCACATTTCAGAGGGCAAAATTGCTGCAAGGTTCAATCGCTTCCAGAAATACTGAATATAAACAAACACTTTATTTGTGTAAATACTTCTGCAAAAGGCTGCAGTGAGGAGATACCAGCTGGAGCTGTGGCGCAATACTCCAGAAATTCAGTAACATTTTCTGGACTAAAATGGTAAATCTGACAGAATCAATGACTCAGAGGACTTGAAACACTTCTAGAAAGGGTCACAATTGTTTTGGCTGAATTATCATTGAATACATTATCTATGGTTAATTAAATATAAGAGTTATAATAAACCATTGACTGCAATCCTGCATTAACGCAAATTTAGTAACATTCACATTTTCTGGTGTTCAGTGCTCCTCCTCCAGTCAGCACAGAGCAGGGCTGAGGAAATGCTCCCATTAGGCACCATTCTCTCCCTCTTATCCCATGTATTTCTAGTTCCACATTATCCCAAGAATTCCCACAAAGAGCCTGAAAAAACCAACACTGCCTTTGCTGTGTGGAGCAGCCTCACCTCAGTTTTACAGAGCTAAACATGACAGAAATCCCCATTAGCCACATTTACCCCAAATTCAGAAAATCACCACCAGGATGACGAGCAAAATTGGATAAAATGCTCTAAACTGTACAGCTTTTACCTCAGGAAGTGTCATTTTCTAGGCTGGTAACACCAATTTTAAACAAGCATGGATGAGAGACCAGGCCAGAGCTGGGAATTGGCCTCTGCAAGGTCTGCCAGCCCTGGGCACCCCATGAGTGCACCAGCAAAATGTGCATTTTACACCTGCGCTGGCAGCAAACACCTGTGGGCACTGGGAGCACCTTTCAACACACAACACACACGTTCTGGGGCAAATAGCAGCAGTTTTTACTGAGCAGATGGAAAATGTGCATTCGGGAGGGAGCAGAAGAGCTCCCAGGCTGTGTCCCAGGGACCCTGAGCTACCCCAGGCACCAGGCTGCCCCACATCCCCTCCTCTGCCTGCCTGGAGGGAGAGCTCAGCTTCCAGCCAGCTGCAAGGGGCAGAGTTACCTTCAAGAGGGTGGAACCAACAATCAGCAACTTGATTTCCATAGTACAGAGGCAAATACACCATGAAAATGAAATCTAACAGTACAAAATGCTTGAGAACATTCTGTTTCCAAGGTGCTAAACATGGGGGCTTCATTTCCCCCAAAAAAATGGGTTGAATATCTCTAGAAACTACCACAGACCACCAAATTCTCTACTTCTGTGGTTTTTTTTTTTTTTCCCTACTTCTGGCCTTCTCTGCAACAGCTGGAGAATATTCTGACCCTTCCAAAAATGCACACAAGACACCAAGATTGTGCTCAACAGGTTTACTCAGACTGGACTCTTAAATGGTCAAGAAAAAGGCACAGATTAAAAGAGACTCTGATGACTCTTTTGAACACGGCAAATGGAATTGTTGTTTATAAGGAAAAAAAATACTGCTATGAATTGTATGGGTTGAAAAGTTAAAATCTTCTTCCCCTTTCCTAATTATTGGCCTTCATTAAAATGGAACTTAAATTAAATTGTATAAACATATGAAATAAAGTCTCAGTATTAGGAAGTTTTGTTTTGCTTTTTTTTTTTTTTTTTTTTGTTTCCTCTATGTACAACTCTTAGTATACAATTTGTACTTTCCATTTTACAGTTAACTACATCCTCCTGGCCACAGGGAGAGCCGAGGGTGCCTTGGTGGGAAATGCTTTGCATTTGGAAAAAATCCTGCTTTTTCTTGGCCAGCAGTGCCAGGGGGAGGGAAGGAGGGGGGGAGGGAGGGAGGGCAGGCTGGGGGCACCCCTCAGATGTAGTCATCCTCCACGGGCTCCCCATTGACATCACAGTAGTGGATGAAGATGGCCACGACCCTCTGGAACACGCCCTTCCTGACCTGCCGCAGCTCCGAGATCTCCTCGCCGATGGTCTCCATGCAGATGTCAGCCGAGAGCTGCCCCTTCCTCCTCGGGGCGTAGATGGTGGCTGGGCAAAGACAGCAAGGAAAAAGGGGATGTTTCTCCCAAAAGCATTCCCCAGCCAGGCTGGTTTTGCATCCAGACTTGGCAAAAAGAGGAAAAGCCTCCCCTGACCCGCTGCATTTAAGGAATGTTCTCTCCTGCCTTCCTCAGAGCTTTCACAGCTCCAGTTCCCATGTCCAAAAGTCTGGCAGTGGAATGAATCCCAGAGCATCAGAAAGCCTCTCCGTGAGGCCTCTCTGACATTATTCCAGGTTATCCATTACTTAAATGTTTTATAAACAACAGCAATTAAGGATAAAGCAGCAGCG